GGCCGCTCCCGAAAAGAGTCGTCGCGGACTTTGTCATCGTGGTGATGAAAGCACGGATCTGGGCGCGTGGGTTAGCGGCGCCTCAGAGTGGCGTCGAGTTTGGGCATCGAGGTGCTGAGAACACAGATGCAGGCGCGTGGATTAGCGGCGGGTCCCGCTTCGGTGCAGAATCGGCCTGGCCCGTCGCTCAAGCAGGCTCATCTTTCGGGGAGTACCCCCTCCGATCCGTGGATCTGGCCCGCACGGGCCAGATCCGCGGACCCTGAGAGTACACGTTGACGCGTGCACGGTTTCAGCATGTGTCCTTGAAGGCATTCGGGTGGAGCGTCCCGACACAGCGCGCGCAAATTGGCATGACGTGCTGCTTCACCAATGCGAAGTACGAGACATCCAATACGCGGGCCGAGGTACTGCAGAGGTGGCGCGCGAAGTAGTCAAGATCAGACTTATCAGGCCACTGGCATCCGGGGCACGGCAGGCAGCTGCCTGCGGCAGAACCCCATCCGCCGTGCCAGCGCAGCATTGAAGTCTACGCAGGATAGCTCTTCCGAGCTGTCCTAGTCAGGCTCGGTAGAGCCATCCTGGGACCATTTGCGGAGCAGGGCCACAAGATTGCAAAGTGGAGCGGCCGCGGCCGTGGCACTGCGTGGCTCCTGCGCTGCCTGTCGGGGGCTCTCTGGGTGGCCTCTTGAGGACCTGTCTGGGTCTTGGGGCCGTCTTTCACACGATAATACTTCCGAGCCCTCCCGAAGAGGCTCGGCAGAGCCCCCTTGGGGCCGTCTGGCGGACCTCGCGCTCGTCTTGGAGCTCCTTTTCGGGCCATTTAGGGACGTCTGGTTATCCGTGGGGGCTCTTCGGGGCCGTCCTCCACTGTCCTTGCGATATATGGGGCACGCATGGGGGCTTTCCAGAACCTTCCCAAGCCCACCGTTTGGGCCGGAGGGCTTGGGAAACAAGGCGCCGTCGTGAAGGACGCAATCTTGTGCGATTGCGCGTGGCGTAGGAGGCGGCCCTTCCATAAAGTGGTTGAGCGCGGCGGCCGCCGCCGCCGCCATCGCACAACCGCTGCAGTCCAGTGGCTTGGACGGCGCGAGGGAGTGCCGTTGAAGCCTGTGTGATGGAGTGGCCGAGGCTTCCAGCGCCGCGGGGGCGGAGAGTGGATGGGGGGGAAATCCTGCGTTTGGGAAGCATGCACGTTGTGCGTTTTACAATTTCGTAGTCTTCAGCTCCCGCCAGCCCTAGAGGTCTCCAAGCGGCAAGGGACGCACCATCCGCGCCCACGCCGTGCCACTAGCCACCCCTGCGCTCCAGCAGCCTGTGCTGCCAGGCATTTACAGGGCAGTGTTCGAAGTCTGGGGGGTACATTCGAATTTCAAGACCCAGGGAAAAACGGGTCGCGTGTGAAGCCTGTCTTTAGGATGGGGTCGAGAGTTTTGGGGTCCGCGTCGTGGAGGAAACGGCGTCCGAGGTTTGTACACCATGAGTTCCCTCATATTCACCCTCGCCCTCACTCATCGTCATCACCTCATCCTCTCCGCCCTTCCTCTGTCGTTCACTTCATCCCCGCCCTCATGTTCATCAGTCTGAGCCTGTAGATATGTGCACCCTTGTAAAGCTGCATGCAAAGAGCCCTCCCTGGAGGGACCCCACCTAAGGGTTGGAAGCCAAGCGGCTATCAGCAGACCCTGCAAGTCTTTGTGGGGCACGATGCGTATGAGAGGTGTGATGGACAGGGCACTGGGGACGGCATGCGAACATACCCGCTGAGCAGCTATCGGCAGACTTGTAACTCCCCATGGGGCACGATCCGCACCGGCGGTGTGCTGAAATGGGCACGGGGGGACCGCATGCGAACACACCCATTGAGTCCGTAGGTGGAGCTCCCTAATGGACACGATCAGGTTGAAGGGTTGAAGGGAGCGCCAGAGTTTTCGGAGGACAACGTGGGAGCACACCCGCTGAGGCTTTCGGTTCAGCTCCCCATGGTGCACGATCCGTGTGCCGTGTGATGGCTGTGCCGACATGGGCGTCGGCACCATAAACGAACGCATCCAACGAGGCCATAATTGGAGCTCCCACAGCGAGATTTGCCATACATGGTCTGGTTCGCCTAGTCTACAAGCATGTACTATCATTATGATGCACTCCCACGCGCCCGCGCAAGGGCTTGTTCCTGGCACTATGCGACGATGTTTTTTCAAGGCGCCCGCGCCAAGACCAATCCTTCCCGGTGTCCTCGCATAGGCTTGGTAGTCCGATGCATTCTGACATGCGCGTGCGCAGGTCGAAATGGTTTGGCAAACGACCATGTTGGTTCTACACTTCCCCTCCTCGTCCTCCGCCTCCTCCTCCGTCTCTTGGCCACCTGTTTATGTTATGAGCTTATTTACCAGGTGTTTACTATTTTGCTCGCTGCAGGATGAAATAAATTAGTCACTCACCGCACCCCTTCGTGCTTGTTCATTCTGACTGCGTGAAAATGGTCATTGGCATCGCCGTTTCAGTCTTCGTTCAAGCGAGCGTCACCGCGCTTCTTCCTGTCAGATATCGAGTGGCACCACTCGGTGAAACCATTGCGCTGGCTCGCGGCAATCTGCAAAAAAACAACAACAACAACAACAACAACAACAACAACAAATGTGCAGTCTCCCCGAGAGCCGGCCGCGCCCCGCCTGGCTCGCTCGCGCCCGTTCTTCCTTCTCTGCGACTGCGCCTGGGATCCCCCTGGGCCCGTCTGAGGATGCCTGGCGGCCGCGCCGCCCTCGGCTCGCTCGCGCTGCTGTTTCCGTGGACGCCTGGTTGGCCTCCTTGTCCTCCTCCTCCTCCATCTCCTCCTCCTCCTCCTCCTCCTCCTCCTCCCCCTCCTCCTCCTTCTCCTCCTCCTCCTCCTCCTCCTCCTCCTCCCTCCTCCTCCTCCTCCTCCTCCTCCTCCTCTCCCTCCTCCTCCTCCTCCTCCTCCTCCTCCTCCCCTCCTCCTCCCCTCCTCCTCTCCACCTCCTCTGGGGCGGCGGCCGCCTCGATCTGGCGGCGCTTGTGCTCGGCCTGCCCCCCCCCCCCCCGGGCCAGTCTGATGGCGTCTGGCGGCCGCCGCCCCGTCCGGGCTCGCTCGCACTGGCTTTGGTTCGTTCCTCTGCGGCGGTGCAAATACCTCCTGCTTTGGTTCGTTCCTCTGCTCCTCTGGGCAGCTAGCCGCTCGAAGCTAGCCCTTCGTAGGGCAACGAAAAATGGCATAAACAGGAAAACTCGGAGGCCCGCGCGGATTTCTTGGATCGGCGCCGGGGCCCCTTGGCGGCGCCTCCGGCGCCGCAGGGAGGGGGGTCCAGCGCCGAGCCGAGGGATCCGCGCAGACCTTCGAGTTTCTGTGTTTGGGTCACCGTCTGGTCCCCTATAGCCTGGCCTCCCCCGGGGGCCCCGCCCGCGGACGTCTGGTGGGCCGCGCCATCCCCCCTGGGCTCGTGCGCGCTGCTCTTCGCTGGTCTGCGGCTCTGTGTTGGGGGGCACGGTCCGTGCGCGGGGGGTGCCTCTGCGCGGCCGCCCTCGGCTTCCTTTCCTTCCTCTTGCCTCGGCATCGCTCGGACGTGTGCATTTTCCTTCGGCGGGGACCATCGAGGAGCATCCTTGATCATTTGGCGAAAAGACCACGCACGAAACCGAAAAAAGCACAGGGAGTGGACGTCCGAGCGATGGCGAGCTGCACGCCGGACGATTCGCCTGTCGGCTGCCACGATGAGCCTCACGTTGGTGCGGACTGCCTCTGCCTTGCCGCCGACGAAGAAAGTGCGGGGGGGGAGTACCAGACGGGGGGGGGCGGGGCGTGCGAGCACACCCGCTGAGACTGTGGGTGAAGCTCACGGGGCACGATCCGTGCACGCCGAAGCAGGAGCAGCAGCGGCAGGGAGGGGGGAGGAGAAGGACGAAAAGGTGCAGACTCGGGGCGCAACGGACTCTGAACGGGGGCGCAATTCCATTTGAAAGTTGAGGAGGGCATGGAAAAGGGTATGTGTGTTTCTCTGTGTGTTGTTGCCTTTGCTGGAGGGTCCACTGTGGTCCTACTCGGTGCTGGCGCCAGTTAGGGCATATTTGGGACATGTTCGGGCCTCTGTGGAATAATGGTTGTCCTGGGCCAGTCCTGACGCATCTTGCATCCATCTTCAGGTGATTTTGGGCCATGTTTGGTCTGATGAAAACACCAGGGGGCAAAACGTTGCGGGAGGGGAGAGCGTCCCAAGAATAGTTCAGAAACGCGAGATGATAGTTGGCAGGAGTTCTAACTCACATCCCAGCGTGCCGTCGACAGATCGTTGGGATCCGAGCCAACGTGTCCACAGCCAGTCGACGCGAGCATTACAACAGTGAGTTCAATCTGCTCCAGCCCATATGATGCCATATGGGCTGGAGCATGTCTTGTAAAGTGTACTGATGGCAAGCCATCGTATCAAGATGCGAAGTCCCTAGTTGGTTCGACTGCCGTCTTGACTGGATCGCAAACTCTTACTACTGGGTAGGCTTACTTGTGCGAGCTAGTGTCGCATGCCCTGCGCATTGTCATGATCTGAATTATCACGTCTGGCATGATAGTGGTAGCCCCGCTGGCTCTAGAACAAAAGCCCACAGGAGTCGGATGAAAATTGGCGTCCACAGGAGTTGGAGGAGAAGACAATCGTTGGATGAATGAATTCAGGTTGCTTGCTCGCATCCGCATGTACAGAAAACGCGAAGAAAGATTGCGCATACACGTTGTCTTCATGTGGCTCTCGCATGTGCGACGCAAATAGAAGCACAGCTCAAGACTGACGCCAACGAGAGTTGGGAGTAGCAGGATGGGGAGATTGGGGTGATGGATTCGTGGCTCGCACAATCGAGGAAGATACAGATTGACATCGAATGCGACGCAGCGATGTGAAGGCTCAGGATGAGAAACAAGGAGAGGCGGAACGGCAGCAGCGAGATACAGGCAGGCATCACATGCGGCGCAGCAAGAGCGGGCCAGACATGCCAAGGCCTCCCAAGCTGGATCTGAGCGCGCGGGCAGATGGCTCCCGATGACGCAGCTTTACGCTCTCCTCTCACAATCTCTCTTTTGGATTGGTTTCTGCTCGTTGTCCTCCTTTCTTTCATTCTTTTTATCCAGCTGCACTGCCGCGCAATTCTGCCACCGCGCTGGGGTGGGCGCCAGGGGGGTGCCCGAGGGGAGGCGAGCGGCGGAGGGGACACTGCATCCAGCTACTCTGGCCTTCGTTTTTGGGACCCCGTTGTCGGAAATCGAAAAGCGAAGGGGCTTTTGGGAACAGATGAAAGGATGTTGGGTTCGATGCGTCGGGGGGCCTCAATGACTGCTTCGCGAGAAGCGAAATAACATAAACGAAATGGCCCGACACACCAATCGCTGCAAGCGGGGTGGCGGAGATGCTGGTCCTCTTTGTCGCATGTTCTTCGCGCTCAACTCAATCACAGCAGATCGTTATCCCAGCACTCTAGGGCGCAATGCAGCCCAGATTCTCGCACAAGCATCCTCAAGCTCCTGGGATAACTACACAGCTTGGCAACCACCATAGAAAAGTTCATTCCTGAAATCTGCCGACAAGCAACGGTGATTGCAATGATCTTCGCATGTGTTGTCCCATCCCCCTCTACTGGATTACTTCGGGGAGGTGCTCAACTATGAACTTGCGTGCGGAAAAAAATGACAGTGACACAGTCGAGTGGTGCGTTGTCGCTTCTTTGGACATACGGCAAGCGATCATTCGCAAATAATCTCGGTGATGATCCCGATGTCTATCCAACGATGATGCAATCAGGAGGGCTTTCACTGACTGGTGATGACCAAGAGGTGTACACACGTTTGGGACAACATCGTCAATCTGTGTTGGACTAGACATCATGGCGTTGTCTGTGTTTGCAGCACCTGCGACTCGGTTGCATCATTATTGCCACAGTCTTTGAGCACGAGCTGATCAATGTGTTTCATGTCTAACCCATGCCGACTGTTTCCGTACCGGCTTGTAATTATAGATTTCGCCGGGAAGGCACGATGTTGTCGCGCGCAGCGTTGTTGCATTCGAGTGCACGTTCGGCAAGTAGAAAACCGTGCGGAACATACAAGTGGGCGAATCCGAACACTAGGTTCTTCCCAACAACTTGTGATGTTTGGTCCTCGTTTTCAAGAGAGCGCCCCGCGTCACTCCTTCCTCCTCCCCCTCCCTCCTCCCACCCCATGCACCCCTTACACGCTTCGTGGCCCCATAGGGAGCTCCACCGAATGCCCCAGTGGCAGGGGTCGCATGCGGTTCCACCCCCATTGCGGCACGCCCCTCACACGCTTCGTGGGCCCATAGGGAGCTCCACCGAAGGCCTCAGTGGCAGGGTTCGCATACGGTTTCACCTGAATTTCGGCACGCTCCTCACACATTTTGTGGGTGAGGTACACCGAAGGCCACAGTGGCTGCGTTCACATGCGCTTCGACTCCACATCTCGTGAAACCCTGCACACGCTTCGTGGCCCCATAGGGAGCTCCACCGAAGGCCTCAGTGACTGCGTTCGCATGCAGTTCCGCCCCCCCTCGGCACACCCTCACACGTTTCGTGGCTCCTTAGAGGCAGCTCCACCAAAGGCCTTGGTGGCAGGGTTTGCATGCGGATCCCCGCCCATTTCGGCACACCCCTCACACGCTTCGTGGTCCCATAAGGAACTTTTCGGGGGACCCTAAAGGCTGCGTCCGCACGCAGTTCCGCCCCCCGTCTCGACAAGCCCCTCACACGCGACGCAGCCCCATAGGGAGCTCACATGGCGGCCCGGATCCCATGTCGACACACCCCTCACACGTTTCGTGGCCCCAAAAGCACCTCACCCGGAGACGAGATTCACAATTGCGTTACCCTCAACTTCATATGGTTGGGTCCTTCGCCAGTGGCAAGGATGATGGGGGGGATGCTGGCCTTGGTTAGGGGCCGGTGGAGTGAGAAAAGGGGGGGGCTAATTAGTTTGGTTCAGGACCCAACCATATGCAGTTGTGGGTGCCGCAGCTGTGAGCATCGGCTTCGGTGGCGCTCCCTGTGGGGTCAACAGACGTGTGAGGGTGTACCAACATGGATGGCCTTGACGCATGCGCGCTGCGCCGCTGGGACCTTCGCTGGAGCTCCCTACGGGGCCACACGCTTCGTGGTCCCATAGGGAGCTCCACCGACAGCTCCAGCTGCAGGGTTCGCATGCGCCCGACGCCCATTTTTGCACACCCCTCACACGCTTCGTGGCCCCATGGGGAGCTGCACCGAAGGCCCCAGTTGCAGGGTTCTCATGCGCCCGACCGCCCGCCATTCCTGCCAACAACAACTGCAATGACGAGGGACCCACCTATATGAAGTTGTGAAAAGCGCAATTGTCAGGGGTGTGCCGACATGGATGGGGTGTGCCGACATGGATGGCGCGGACGCATGCGGGCTGCGCCGCTGGCACTTTCGGTGGAGCTCCCTATGAGGCTACGAAGTGTGTGTGCGGTGTGCCGAAATGGGTGGCGCGGACGCATGCGGGTTGCGCCGCCGAAACTTTCGGAGGAGCTCCCCATGGGGCCAGGAAACGTGTGAGCGGTGTGCCGAAGTGGGTGGCCTTGACGCATGCGCGCTGCGCCGCTGGGCCCTTCGGTGGAGCTCCTTATGTAGCCATGAAACGTGTGAGTGGTGTGTTGGCATGGATGGCGCGGACGCATGCGGGCTGCTCCGCTGGGGCGTTCGGGGGAGCTCCCCATGGGGCCACGAAACGTGTGAGCGGTGCGCTGGCATGGATGGCGCACACGCATGCGGGCTGCTCCGCTGGGGCGTTCGGGGGAGTTCCTTATGAGGCCACGAAACGTGTGTGGGGTGTGCCAGAATGGGTGGCGCGGACGCACGCGGGCTGCACAGCTGAAACTTTCGGGCGAACTCCCCATTTGGCCACGAAGCGTGCAATGGGTGTGCCGACATGGGTGGTTCGGACGCATGCGGGCTGCACCGCTGGAACCCCCGGTGGAACTCCCTATGGGGCCACGAAACGTATGAGGGGTGTGCCGAAATGGCTGGCACGGACGCATGCGGGCTGCGCCGCTGGGACCTTCGGTGGAGCTTCCCATGGGGTGACGAAACGTATAAGGGGTGCGCCGACATGGGCGGCGCGGACGCATGCGGGCTGCGCCGCTATAACCTTCGGAGGAGCTCCCCATGGGGCCACGAAACGTGAGTGGGGTGTGCCGGATTGGCTGGCGCGGACGCATGCGGGCTGCGCCGTTGACGCCCTCGGTGGAACTACTTGTGGGGCCACGAAATTTGCGAGTGGTGTGCCGGCATGGGTGTTGCGGACGCATGCGGGCTGTGCCGTTGCGACTTTCGGGGGGGTCCCTATGAGGCCACGAAACGTGTGTGGGGTGTGCCGGGGATTGGGTGGCGCGCACGCATGCTGGCTGCGCCGCTGTGACATTTGGTGGAGCTCCCTGTGGGACCACGACATGTTCAAGTGGTGTGCCGACATGGGTGGCGCGGACGCATGCGAACCTTGTCGTTAGGGCCTTGGGAACTGTTCCCTGTGGGTACTGCTCCCTCTGGGGTGCCGAATTGACATGCGGAGGGCAGAGGCAAGGAATGGGATGAGGAAGGAGACACGGGAGGAGGAGGGGGAGGAGGAGGAGGAGAAGGACAAGGCAGCGGGAGGAAGAGGGAGATGTGGGGCGCTGTTTCTTCAAGACGAGAAGCCAACACTACAGGATGGTTGGGACTGTTTAACGAATGGTCAGTCTTCCAAGACGGCACAAGCCGTCCCGTTCGCTCCCACCCGCCTTCCCGACACATCAGAAGCATCCGAGTCAGCAGTCAGATGTCGCCAGTAGCTGGGCAATTCTTCGGAATCAATGCAGACCGCAGGTTCGCGACTCTGGCGCGGCGCGCCAAACGCTCCAGGAGCCCAACCATTGCAGGCGCGGCTGGAGCGCCAGATGCGCCGCGTGTTCCCACATGAGCCAAATACGCGCGCAGAGAGCGCCAGGTGCGACAGTGCACGTCGCAATGCAAAATTGCAGCGGGTTGCCAATCTTGGCGTATGGGATGCGCACCTGCAACCACTTTTGCTTTGGTTTTCGACAGGGATGGTGGGCTTGCGAACATCGGGTAATATACTAACACCCCCGCCGTCACTGTCAAAGAACAATACAGAGTGATCTTGGAGAGCCCGCGCATGGTCAAAGATCTTGCTCCGCCCCCAGCATGGGCCCGGGACCCCACCCCAAGCATTTGCCTTTTATATTCGTCCTGGCACGCCGGGGCACTCCAGGACTCGACGCTTCCTGGCTTTATTGCGCACACGATTGCCAGTGTGCCCCCGAGTTTCTTTCCCGAAAGATTCCGGACAAAAGCAACGGAGGCATGATTCGAAGCATTTCTTGGTCGATACCAGTGTCATCCAGCATTTGGTCGGTGGACCCTTCCCAGCCACCCGGAATCTGGACCGTTCCCAACCTTTCGGGCAGGTGGGAGTTCAATATCTGGGATGGGAATAGCGGACTAGCGGCCGCCAGCATTTCGTGGCCGATCGCGGCCGCGTGGAAGGACGGCCGTCTCGCTCACCCCCACCCGTTCCTCTCACCACGGACGTAACACCCGAGTCTCAGCATGGGCAGGGGCCTCCATCGCCAACCATTGGGAACCAATGCAGACGCCAGCCAGGTGCTCCACGCCTGCGAGGTGGCCCGCGGGTGCCAGGCTCCCCTCCCTTTTATCACCCCTGTCAAATAACAATGCGTGATCGAGGGCCGCGTCCAAGATCTCTCCGCAACGTGCGTGTTGCATTGTTTTTTGCGAAAGATTATGGGCCTGCACCATATGACGGCAGCCCCGCCGTCCCTGTCAACACTCAGTATAAGATCGTGGGGCACCCGCACATGATCCAGATCTTGCGGCTGAGCGCATATTGTTTTTGCACAGGGATGGTGGGAGGAGGTCGGCATGGGCCCTGGCCAGGGACCACTAGAGTGGGGGAGGGGGTGTATATCCATAAGGAGCAGTGATAAGCGTTCCCCGACTAGTGGAACAAGGCTTTGGAAGAGTACAGACAAGAACTCTGATACCATCTGTGCCCAGAGGGCTGGCGGGATTACAACCTCTGGTGCCATTACGGATTCAGTCCAGCGTGTTGTAACAATATTTGCAGCAACCTCCGCATTTCGAGAGCACATTGGTTAGCTAGATTTGTGCCGTCCGTCAGTGTTGATTGTCGTGTGGCCCTCAATCGTAGCGAAGCAGTGCCCGGAAGCATCAGATCCAACCTTCCGAATATTCAAGTAACCGTCGACGATATGTAACGGCATTCGGAGCACACGTCTGTAGAATGTTGGGACGAGTGGCGTAGAATTGGTAGTAGTTTCGGCCGCAGTCGTTCTGCGAGGATTGTTCACAATCGGTCCGCGAACATTCCAATCGTATCGGCGCATACGTACATGCACGTTGTGCTGGGTGTATTTTGTCGTGGGAGCATCGAATGATGAGGTGGCGCACGGGATTCGAAATGGATTTCCGTCCACCGTGCCACAGCAAGTACCAAGTATCAAGTCTTGCGTTTGTGCATGATGGCGAAGTTGGAAAGCAAACGCATGATTTTCCTTTCAGTTACGCACACGCACGTTTCAAACCCATGCGACCAAGCGAGTCGCTTCCATACTT